CTTGTGTTCAAAAATGTCGTGAGTCAGACGGCTGAGGCACGTACTGATGTGGTGAGTTTATTGCACAGATGCAGGGTGTCACATCCAGCTATTCAAGAAATCCTAAGCCACAACAGCTGCCAGGCAAAGAGGCTGCAAGTGAACCTCCCAGCCGACTATGCTACTGGGTCACGTAACGACATATGGTATGGTAACCAAATCTAAATCAGTAAATGTGAGATTGCAGTTTAGGAAGGATTTGGTTGCACATAATGAAATAAAAGTCAACGATCGAATGACACACAATCCCCCCAAAAATAATTAAATAAATACAGGATCAGCAAGTTCAGTTTTGTAACACATTACTTATAGATTGCTTTTACTTTAGATAAATGATGAATGGAAATTATTTCAGTGCTTCACTTCCTTTAAAGAGTGACATAAGTCTTTAAATAAGACTACAGCTTTAAAATAATTTTAAAAAATATTTCAAAGGCCTTATTAAACAACTCAAGATACAGGAAAAGTTATTTGGTTCCCTTTAAATCAGCTATTCTTACTATTCTTCCAGTATGTACACTGCTCAAAAAAAAAATTAAAGGAACACTTTTTAATCTGAGTATAGCATCAAGTCTGCTAAACGTCTGGGATATTGATCAGGTCAGTTAAGTAGCAGAGGGTGTTGTTAACCAGTTTCAGCTGCTTTGATGTTAATGTAATTAAAAGGAGGAGCTCTAGAGGTTTTTTTTTCCACGCTTTGAATTTGTCACCACTGACAGCATGAGGTGATACCTGGAGAGATTGTCCAGTCCACTGTTTCCCAGCACAGTCTCAAGAGCATGAAGGAGATTTCAGAAGACAGGCAGTTACTATAGGAGAGCTGAACAGGGCTGTAAAAGATCCTTAACCAATCAGTAGGACGTATGTATTTTTTTGTGCAAGGAGGACCAAGATGAGCACTGCCAGAGCCCTACAAAATTACCTCCAGCAGGCCAGTATTGTGAATGTTTCTGACCAAACAATCAGAAAGAGACTTTATGAGGGTGGCCTAAGGGGTCGACATCATCTAGTTTACCCTGTGTTCAGTGTCTGGCACTCTGGAGACCAATTAGCAATTGCCATAGAATACCAGAATTGGCAGAACCACCAATCGAGCAAATTCTGCCTGAACACAT